TGTAAGGGTGGAGCTAAGTTTAAGGGAAGAGTTGAAGTTAAGGGTAGAGGTGAGTGTGAGGGGGAGCTGAGGATGAGGGTGGAGCTGAGTGTAAGGGTGGAGCTAAGTGTGAGGGTAGAGTTGAAGTTAAGGGTAGAGGTGAGTGTGAGGGGGGAGCTGAGGATGAGGGTGGAGCTGAGTGTAAGGGTGGAGCTAAGTTTGAGGGTAGAGTTGAAGTTAAGGGTAGAGGTGAGTGTGAGGGTGAGTGAGGGCATTCCACCTAGCAATTTAACCTTTTATCTGACAACATTTAACTGTGTCCTTTATTGTCACCGCAATTTCAACATTCTGAACATTGCACAGGTCTCACCGCCACCAGCGCCCTCGAATCCAGATGCATAAAGGACTCTGACTGTCCAGTACCTAGGATGTTTGTGTGCTTCACCAAGACCTGTAAGTGTGCACCAGGCTACAGCTACAATCCTGCCACTGACAGCTGTGTAAGACGTAAGGCTCTTTAGTAAGACTCTTTTAATATGACTTTTGTTGGTGTGGTTCTAACACAATTACGTACACTTTGTTCTGATGATCTTGTTGGTAGTGGTCATGAACTTGCTGTTAGTACAAGTATATAATACTCATGAAGTTGTTGGCAGTACTCATGACCGTGGTGACAGTGCTCATGACCATGGTGACAGTGCTCGTGACCATGGTGTCAGTGCTCATGAACATGGTGTCAGTGCTCATGACCATGAAGGCATTGCTCAATACCATGGTGACAGTGCTCATGACCATGGTGTCAGTGCTCATGACCGTGTAGGCAGTGCTCATGACCATGGTGACAGTGATCATGACCATGGTGACAGTGCTCATGACCGTGTAGGCAGTGCTCATGACCATGGTGACAGTGATCATGACCATGGTGGCAGTGCTCATGACCAGGGTGACAGTGCGCATGACCATGTTGGCAGTGATCATGACCATGGTGGCAGTGCTCATGACCATGGTGACAGTGCGCATGACCATGTTGGCAGTGCTCATGACCATGGTGACAGAGCTCATGACCATGGTGGCATTGCTCATGACCATGTAGGCAGTGCTCATGACCATGGTGACAGAGCTCATGACCATGGTGGCAGTGCTCATGACCATGGTGACAGTGCTCATGACCATGGTGGCATTGCTCATGACCATAGTGACAGTGCGCATGACCATGTTGGCAGTGCTCATGACCATGTTGGCAGTGCTCATGACCATGTTGGCAGTGCTCATGAACATGGTGACAGTGCGCATGATCATGGTGGCATTGCTCATGACCATGGTGACAGTGCGCATGACCATGTTGGCAGTGCTCATGACCATGTTGGCAGTGCTCATGACCATGGTGACAGTGCTCATGACCATGTTGGCAGTGCTCATGAACATGGTGGCAGTGCTCATGAACCTTTGTATAGTACACAGACAGTATGATATAACACGTGTTAAACATTCCAGCAAAATCCATTTCACACAAAGGAAGTATAGATGTTCCTGGAAATTGTACAGCTGCTTTTCATAGTTTGTAATGATCTTTAATATTGATGCTGAGACCATGTACTTCGTAGGATGCAAAGTGTATGGCAACGGACTGACGACATACCAAGGACTGGGTATCATGGAACACAATGATAGAATAACGTATGGTAGAACTGAAAAGTACTGCTCTGACATGTGCACCAGAGAGGGAAGCTTTACATGTGTGTCCTATGAATACTCACACAGAGTCGGCCGGTGCCAGATTTCAAAATCCGGATACCTAGACGTGGAAGACACCAAGAGAGAGACGGGGCTACAAGACTGGATCTTTGTGGTGAGAAACTGTGCATAACACTATAGCCGTGAAAGCTGGAACGACGTTCCTATACAAAACATAGGAACACACTCATTTCCACCACCTGCTAATACCTGCACCATGTTAAAAAAGCAGCACAATGGAGTTGCTGTAACCATTCATCTGAGATCAACGCCGCGCCATCTAAATCCCACACGGGCACCCACACACACCCTCAGCCGCACCCGCACCCTCACCCGCATCCCTCATTTGCAACCGCATCCGCACCTCAACCTTACCCTCACCCCTACCCTCACCCTCACCCGTACCCTCACCCTCACCCGCACCCTCATGCGCACCCTTACCCTTACCCGCACACTCACCCGCATCCGACAATGCAACAGCCTGAAAACCGTAATTTTAAAACGCTTGGATTCATTTCCAATGGTGCTTCAACATCTGTTATGGCTACATTTTAATATCTCGATATTTACTCGTTGCAAATCTTCACAAACATAAAACAGGATACATGCCTGATGTTGAAATGCAGAATGAAGAACTTTCCATTCAGTCTGATTATTGTTTTCTGTGGAGGGTCTTGATTCAAGTTAACGGAAGGCGAGGCAATATATCATGTCCTGAACGCACGACTTTCTTGTTGGAGATGGTGAAAGTAACACATGTGTGCCAAGGGTACTGTCTGTAGCCCCCGTGAATTGTAATCAACATCATCAAATATTGTGGAAATGCTCGACTGCTGGACATAAAGTATCTTTGTGGTGTGGTCCCAAAATAAAAAATTAAAATTAAAATTAAATATGGTAGTCCTCATGTCAGGACTCGAAGAGTTGTAAATATGTACCAGTTGTCACTGTATTAAAAATGACAATCGTGTTATCAATCCGCACATATTGTACACTACTAAAACCTTCCTTATCATAAGAGGCTTGTAAAATATCAAAGTTGCTGCTATTAAATTTATTTCCTCACACCTGTGTTTCTGAAAGACAAAAGTCTGTGACGTGGTTTCGTTTAGCTTTAGTTTAGTTGTACACAAGTGTTAAAAAGAGGAATGCACAAACTCAGGTCTGGAAATATAATCCACGTCAGGTGTACACGACGGACAGAATACATTAATAACGTTACATATACTGCTCACACTTTGCTAAGGATCACTAAAATTCACAACTTTACTTAAACGTTTATTTATAATTTGAAATTGTATCCATTTTAAACTGGATACATAATAATATGATCACCCCTCTGTAGGCAAACAGTCACTTTAAACTAACCTTATGCACTTGATACATGTGTAACCATATAAATGTGAATTGTAAAACTTAATAGTTTATAAATCTGAACACATGAATAAGATTATATACTTGTTTGTTATTGCGAATTGTAAATCTTAATAGTTTATACATCAGGACACATAAATAAGATTATATACTTGTTTGTTATTGCGAATTGTAAATCTTAATAGTTTATATATCAGGACACATAAATAAGATTACATACATGTTTGTTATTGCGAATTGTAAATCTTAATAGTTTATACATCAGGACACATAAATAAGATTACATACATGTTTGTTATTGCGAATTGTAAATCTTAATAGTTTATACATCAGAACACATAAATAAGATTATATACTTGTTTGTTATTGCCAATTATAAAACTTTATAGTTTCTAAATCAGAACACATGAACACGATTATATACCTGTTTGTTATTGTGAATTGTACATCTTAAGAAGATTATAAATCAATACACGCGAATAAGATTACATACATGTTTGTTATGTGAATTGTAACTCTTAATGATTTACATATAAGAACACACGAACAAGATCGCATACATGTTTGATTTTGTGAATTGTATCTCGTAATATTTTATAAATCAGAACACATGTATTTATATTTGTTATATAATAAATGTTTGTTATTGTGAATCATCTGTTCCGCCTGTTGTTTTCTCTCTGCTGACGTTTGTTACAATCTCCATTCCTCACATGTGTTTACATGTCAGGTGTATTTGACCATTTGTAGTACTGATAATTTTCCGTACAGATTTGATGCCGTTCTCCCTGCCATGCCAATAAAAAGAGGAACAGCCAGGTGTACGTGAAGCACGTGCACAAGTGCCGACAAAGTTATTGATTCATTTACCTGTGCTCTGCCGGCTCCATCCTTTCTCGCACACCTGGCTGTTCCTCTCTTTGCACTCCTCCCTCGTAACAAATAGTGAACTGTGTCAAAATTTTAATGACAGTTTGTAAAACAACTTTTTTATTTTTAGGACATAAATTCTGCGAAAACCTCACAGAGTTGGTCTGATGTTTTGATTATGATCAGTGTTTCATTTAGTACTATATGTATATTAGTTTTCGAGTTGGATTGCAATTCATCGCTCCAATTTTGAGCCAAACGGACTGTAGATATTACCGATGTATGACTGAGGACTGCAGACAATCATGGACTGCCGAGATACACCAGTGATTGATATCATGAGCACATTAAAGCAACATGTTAATAATTCGAGAGTCTATGTGTGAGATTCGTATACATACACATACATACATACATACATACATACATACTAACATTTGTATAGCGCCGATATCCAGCTCACCTCAGCTGCTCAAAGGCGCTTTGTTTTCCCCTCGTTCACTGGATGTCAATCTCAACGGCACATCGCATTGTCAATCTCAACTCCCTTGGGAGCATACAACTCTTGCAGCCACTAGGCGCACCGAGTTAACGGGGCATTCCCATCCTTACGAGGTACCCATTCACAGCTGGGTGGACTGGGACACATAGTCACAGTACTTTGTCCAAGTTTACTGCACGTTGCTGTACCCGCAACTGGGTGTTTGCACGTATTCATGTGGCCACCATCTGGTCATATACCAACGGATTCGTGGGTTCTTTTAAGTGCACAGGGTTGTGTACTGTACACTAGGGGTTGTGACAACACTGAAAGAGTCTGCACACAAAGTTGACTCCAAGGTTTGTCACAGGTGGGCTCGATCCCGTCACTTCACGCTCGCTGGATCACTAGCCTGGCGCTTTAGCCAGTTCGCCCACCGCGCCCCCGTATGAAAAGCAAGTAATTATAGGAACTGTGAACAGGCTAAACATACGTTAACATGACGTGGTAAACAGTGTTCATATTTCCTACATAAAACAGGAAGATTGTAGGAGGTCACAAACTTTATTCAGAAATCAGCATTGTTTATTGGTTAAAACGCCAGTGCGAGCAGTGGGACCTCAACAATATCAGACAACAAGGATGTCTTCTCAGTAAGTCAGTACAATGTTCTTTCCCTTTGTAGTGTCATAGTCCATGGTCTTTAATCTTCATGTAAATCATCATATTTAGGGCATATGAAGGATCGCCATCTTATAGACGGACGCCGAATAGAATCCCCCGCATATCTTGCTTAGGTCTCCATTACATGGTTCGTTGCAGTGACTTTCGTTCTTGCTCACACTCGTGATGGCATCAGCACACCTGCACAGCCTTCTTGGTATAAGCTGAAAGAAAACAGATTTATTATATTCTGTTTCTTTATGGAAAACGTTTTCAATAATTGGATGTATTTGTCTGCACCTATACCTTTGGAGAATGCAAGAAACAAACTAGAAACGTAATTTTGTTCACATTTAGATACAAATCTTTTTACACTTCAACACAGCAACAGGCATTTGAGTCTTTTCTTTGTTACTGTCCGATATGTTCTGGTCTTGCATATAGGCCTGATGCACTAAAGGCACTAAAGATACCTATTCGGACTAGGGCTGCGCAATATAACCGGTTTACCGGTATTTACCGGTTCAGACATGAACACGATACGTATTGCGATACGCTGATCGAAAACCGGTATATTGACATGCATTCGGAAAACTTCGTAACACTCGGAAATCCTCGGATATTTCCGTTTTTTAAATTGTTCCTTTCCTTATTTCATTTGTGCCAATCATTATTTACATTTTTATTTTGTCATGATTAAAAGTTTTTATTAACGCCTAATCAAGCATTGTGATTGTGTTGCGTTTTTGCTTTATAAATCAAGCATTAACTCGATTATACGTATTTTTTGTTAAAGAAAACTTCTTGCAATATATTGCAATACATATCGCAATACATGCTTTCGCATCGCAATTTATCGCAATATGAAAATTCCTTGCAATAACCACCCCTAATTCGGACCCAGTGTTTTCAGGGACAGTGTGGTGAGGATCATGTCAAATAAGTTCCTGCGATGACACCATGTGCAATATGACAGCCATTCACCCATTAATACAAGGTGTGTCTGTAATTTCATCCATCTTTCTTCCCACTCTAATTTGTGACATCTGTATCTTCCCACTGATATTCAATAACTTAGCTCGCCAATTTCCGTTCGGTTAGGTTTTTCTCGTAAATGTAGGACAACGACATAAGGTTACATTTGTGGCAGGACTGTCAACATTGCCAAGGATCATGGGGCTTTGGAAAAATACTTGATGACATAAATAACAAGACGTGTTACAACAGTGGTTGCATACAGGTGGTGACATTACAGGTTGCATACATGTGGTGAGTCAAAGTTAAAACTATGGGTACAGTAGCATGTGTGCATACTTATGTTGCCAATAGAAGTGCTGCTCCAAGTTCATGTTAGGTGCTTGGTTTAACCAAGCGATTTGGAACCATACAGGTTCTATACCTATTCTATGGGAATTATATCAGGGACACGTGCTGGCCACTCCATACGATCAATTGTTTGTGTTTGCAAATACTGTTCCGGAACCATGTGGACCAGCCTTGTCATCCATAAGGATGAAGTCATTCCCGATAGCTCCTGCGTAAGGTTTGAGACGGACGTCCAGGATCTCATCTCTGTAACGAATCCCGGTCATGGTGTCATTTGCAAGACCATAGGGATCGATCTTACCGTCCCAGCTGATTCCAACCATGTACCCATTTCCATATCTGTCATGGTCAGCAATGTTAACATGAGCTAAATAAAATCTCCTCCACACCCTTAGACGTCTATCAGTAAAGTCCAGACAACTTCGGATAATCCCCGTCCCTTAACAAATGTTGAACAGTATAGCTTGGTGAATATACATTGTTAACTGTATTTGGGAATAATCGCTGTTGCTGCTTTGAAATTCCAACAATACTCTTTCTTACTGTTGCAGTTTGTGATAGCTGTGGTTAATGGTACGTATGTGGTTGAGTATCATGACAATAGGCGTGTTAAACTCGCACCTTCTTGACGATGTGCATAGTTCCAGAGGTGTAACCGAGTCTGTAGCATTCTTGCTGGCAAACTTCAGGTGTCAGTCCAGTCAAGTATCTTTTGCGCGTCTCTTTCAGCGCCTTGCCCTTGTAACAGCCAACGAATACGAAGTGAACTGTGAGAACAGAATGATAATGATGGTCACTAGAAGGCATACATATATTCTATGAAACGATAAGCTTACAAAATCAATGCACGTTTAATGTTATAATAACAAAATCTGAAAGGCGTGTGTTCACAACTTAACATGATGGAAACGTGACAAGACAAAATGAGTTAACAGCAACGGTGGAATATTTCGGTGTTATTTCGCCACATACAAAACAAGCCTGTCACATGATGTTGAAAAATAGTCTCATGTTGTTAAACCAGCTATGTTTGAATCGTAGATCTCATGGACACCAGCTATGTTTGAATTGTAGATAGGACAATTGTTAATGTTGCATCAAAGCCGGAGCTCAACACATTTTGATGACACTTCTTGTACCTTAAAGCGAGCTATATTAGACATCCACGCCACACGATCTGGCATGGGCTGCGCAGTATACGCTTGGGCATTTATTATTCAAGGTGAGGGGACTTCATGTGCATCATCAATGATCATGCCAGTCCTCTTATGGCGTCTAGCAACAAGCAGATGTACCAGAAGTCCGCCTTACCTTGTTTGGATGTCAGTCTTGTTGTGGTGCCTAGCAACAAGCAGATATACCGGAAGTCAGCATTACCTTGTGTGGATGACAGTCTTGTTGTGGTGCCTTGCTACAGACAGATGTACCGGAAGTCCGCCTTACCTTGTTTGGATGTCAGTCTTGTTGTGGTGCATTGCCACAGACAGATGTACCGGAAGTCCACCTTACCTTGTTTGGATGTCAGTCTTGTTGTGGTGCATTGCCACAGGCAGATGTACCGGAAGTCCGCCTTACCTTGTTTGGATGTCAGTCTTGTTGTGGTGCCTTGCCACAGGCAGATGTACCGGAAGTCCGCCTTACCTTGTTTGGATGTCAGTCTTGTTGTGGTGCCCTTCCTACAAGCAGATGTACCGGAAGTCCGCCTTACCTTGTTTGGATGTCAGTCTTGTTGTGGTGCATTGCCACAGGCAGATGTATCGGAAGTCCGCCTTACCTTGTTTAGATGTCAGTCTTGTTGTGGTGCCTTCCTACAAGCAGATGTACCGGATGTCCGCCTTATGAAACATTTTTACGACCTCATGAAACAGGGGCAGTCTGAGATTTCTTAGTTAACGTCATGCTGCCTACACCTAGTCATAAAATATAGAAATACGATGTTATTAAAGTTCATTTGTAAATACCAATTTCTTATGAAACAAGGAATTGGAATTTAGTGTAACCATAGTTGTCTGTAGTGTCTCTTTTCACTTTCACACGAGAAAATTCATGTCGGCTGAAAAGTAAGTCATTGTCTGAATTGGTTCATGAGACTCATGTTTCGGTTTGACCACTGCCACATATGCTGCAAGTTCTACAAGTCTTCATTTGGCCTCAGACTGCATGTTAAAGGGATCCTTCACAACAACAACCGTTTCTATTGCCAAGTCTGTGGAAAAGGGTATCAAAAACTGTGGGATTTCAACAGTTAATGCTCTAAAATCCTTGCAACTACATGGACAATTACTTCAACGTAAACATTCAAAGCAATGGACAGTTTCAAAACAACTCCATGTACAATGTACAGTTTGATTTTTCGACGATAACTAAAAAATTACCAATGCATTAAAGCCTAAACTGTGAATGAAACCTAAAATCACTATATCTAAGAACTGACAGAAAAAAACAGGTGTGTCTGTTAATGAGGATGTCATATTTCGTATTGAAACGATCATTTTCTTTCGACTCTCAAACGGGTGCCCTCGCCTAACGCGCAATTGTAACAAATATAGAGGCATTCGTGACAAACCTCGGTTTTTCCGGGACAAACCGAATAGCGACTCGTGCCCCTCTGGAAGGATTTCATATTGGCGTATGAACATCAGAACTACTTTAAACAAGAACGATAACTCTATCCCTGTTTGATTCCAATGTTTCTAAAAATAACCGAAGCACATGTACATTGTATTGCTAGGTTGTTTGTTGTTGGGTTTTTTTTTTGTTTTTTGTTTTCTTTGTTTTGTTTAGTTTTTTTTGTTTTTTTGGGGGGTCCACTTATTTATTTTAAAGAATTAAACCTCTTTGATACAACTAAAACAAGGAGAAAAACATATTTGTTAAAGACATATTCTAATGTAATTATTACCAGCTGTTCACCTTGTATTTCCAATTATGTTAATTAATAGGGTTCTTAATAGGGTTTAATCATCACAAATGGCAATTGTTTTATTGAATATACAAATAAAATAAACAAAATTCAGCTACATTAAATCCCAAAGCAGATACTCAAAAATGACTTTAATATATTTCTCAAACTGAACATTCGTGTAACCTTGCTGTCACACCTCTGGTGGAATTTTAAATAAATTCGATGAAAAAAATATGAATGACCAAAAAACAGTCAGACTAAAATATCCCCAGAGATATGAAATATAAGCCCAATGTTAAAGATTAAGGTTGATTGGTTACATACAAAAACGATATTATTGTTTTGAAACTGGTAGCGATTATAATTACATTTCCTAAAAATGGTCGAAGCACACTAACAATCTCCATCACATGCCCGCAAGATCGTCAGAAATACACTCAGTTGGACCTATGAGAGCCGTTATGTCAACAAACGCACGTGCGTGTATTTTAATCTTTCACCGTCACTGGCATGCTTCTTATTAAAAGCTTCATAATAGGCAGCAAAATCCTTTTAGCTACGTTCTTTGTACTTTCAATATGTCAATATATATTTTTCATGATTTTTTAAACAAGGACATAATGCCATAAACGATTTAAGTACTCGGGATTATTTTTATCAAAGCACCGCGCTCATTTACGCGCGTTCTGATTGGTTTGTCGTATTTTCGCACATAACAAGTATCGAGTGGGGGACGAGTCTTCTTGGAGGTTACGGAAAGGGGCGAGTGGTGACGAATGATATAGAGGGTGTCAAACAATTTTATAGATCCTTCTGCCAAATGGCAAAACCGGATATACTTGCAAAATAATGAAAATGCGAGGAAAAGCCCACTTTTACTCTTGCGTCACGTGTCCTACTTTCACTCTCCAGCGAGGAAATGGAGTTGCTTTTGGGGCAACTCCATATTTCGTGTGGACAGCGCTTCCACCCTGTCAATCTGAACAAATGCAACCAAAGCTAAGACTGTTCTCTAACCTCGCTTATTGAAACCTCTGGCGCCGGGAAGAGAAACATTGGAGGGAGATAGGGGTGTCCTGTAGATGTAGCACTGACCGCCATGGTGCATCACAGCAAGACAGGCTTCATCCCTCCCACAGAAGCTGGCACATACCAGCTTACTCCTCGACTGGTAGATGACAGCTGGGGTCCCGTCAGGTCTAACGTTGTCCAGATGGGTCAGTCTTGTAAACAGACGTCCGGAAACAACAGCATCATGTGTGAAAACCTCTTGCAAGAAGAGGGGCAGAAGTACCAGAAGATTCATTCCTTCTCCTCAGCTTAAGACAAACAATTGTAACTGACTACACTGTACTTCCCAGCGCTGCAACATATAGTTGTATAGTACACCACCTTCACAGATGAAGTATTATGTAATGATAATCGGCCAGGATCATGCAATACGTAGGCAGTGCAGAATCCAATTGTACGACAGAGGCTCCATGTTGACACGAACAAGACGGTTGCTAAGGATGTAAACACTATCCATCAGTCAAAAACATGAGCAGTGTTCACCAAAGGGACTATCAAGTGATGTCCCCCATTAGCACAAACACGTTTAGCTTATTCGTGGTTCGAAGCCCATGAGGGCATCATTTTTATGTGTTTCACGTAGCCACCTCATTCTGAACATGGGTCGATCTGTAGTGGAAAAATATAAAATAAATATTTAAAAAAGCTTAATAAAGACACAATATCTGAATAGTGCTCTTGATTCTCATTTGTTGTACTTGTTATTACAATTTCTCGCGTTCTCGTGACTTCAAACTTATGGCAGCGACTGAGAGGAAGGTAAACATTTTTTTTAAAGATAAACTCACCCTATATCTTAGATAGCACCTATTAATCTATGAATAAAATATTAAATAGTGAAACCTTTGCAGATCAATCGATATCAAGAGAGAGAGAGATTATTACACTAAGGTGGCCACCGGCCGATTACACAAGTAGTACAGCATATATGCACCATGTATAGAGGGTGCCATGCATATTATTCTTTACAATTGCAACCGATTATTTCTTTTTTCATGGCAAGAAATGCATACTTTGCTTAACAATTAATAACATCTGGTTTTTTTTATGATAATAACTGATAAAATGTATGTTGGGTTTACAATATAATATTCAGGTAACAATTTTCTCAAATCTGACAAATGCAACGATAACAAATTCGTTCATCTTAGCAATATGAAGTTTTCTATCTACCTCTATCATTAATCTGTGATTTGAACACCTAAATTTATATTCAGGGCTATTCCATATGAAGTAACAAATATTCTTCCCAACATTATTCTTTCTTCAGAGATTGATAACAACGTATTCATGCGAGTAACATTCTCATTGTGCCACACATAACTAAAACCATATTTATCTAACAATTGTTCTGCATTATGGGCTCAACATTGTCTACCAACTTCTGCTAATTTATATTGATAACGGTATGTGTGGTATCATTCTGTTTGGTGTACAAAAAGACTAACGTGACGGGTATTCTCCTTCTACCACCACCACAAACGTGATAAAAGAACAAACATCAGTGTAAGTCCCCTGTGACACTTGCCGAGGCGTTTATTAAAACTGTACGCGGTACATCACATCACAGTGATGATTTACGCCTCACCGTCTTGTTCCACGCAAACAACCCTTCAAGCAGTTTGACTTTCATGCAAGGCAGTTTCTATGTTTGCACCCTAGAAGAAAATAGTATGCATATTATCACTGTAGACATCAGATGCTACTGTAACATCTTCTCCACCTACAAGGTAGGTATGACCACAATGCAGCAGTGTTTCTCATTATCATCTCTTCTTGCAGACCTTGATTAAGTGTCACAAATCAATATGTTAAGTACTGGTGTCGCAGCCGAGAATGAACTTACCGCGCTATGACGTCACATTTATAGACATATCTGACAACGCCCTCTAGACCACGCATTACCTCCCCTTTTATCTGGTTTGTCCCTAAAGAGAAATCAATTTCTATCTAATTCACCCAGCTCAAACGATATAAATTTCATTTATCAGAGTATGTGTTTACAATATTGCGGGTAATCGAAAACGCAAAATAAGCGACTTATAGCGGAGAAACTCCACCATCGATCAACACGAGATAATGTTACTCCGACACTCAATGGAATTATTTGAGACTGGGCAGATTGTAAGAACAAAACTGTTATCAATCACATTAATGTATCAACGTATTTTGAGTAGTTGTATAGTTTAGGGTTAGTGAGTGAGTGAGTGAGTTGGCTTTTATAACGCTTTTAGCGATTTTCCAGCAATATCACGGCTGGGGACACGACAAAAATGGGCTTCAGACATTGTACCCATGCTGGGAATCGAACCTGGGCCTTGAGCGTGACGGGCGATGGTTGTAACCACTGGGCTACCCCATCGCCCCAATTTCGGTACAGGTGTATGTTCGTATAGAGTGACCATCTGGGCAGGAGAGTGACTATGAGCCCAGGAGAGTGACTATGTGTGCAGGAGTGTGACTATGTGTGCAGGAGAGTAACTGTGTGTACAGGAGGTTGACTATGTGTGCAGGAGCGTGACTATGTGTGCAGGAGTGTGACTATGTGTGTAGGAGTGTGACTATGTGTGAAGGAAAGTAACTGTGTGTACAGGAGTGTGACTATGTGTGAAGGAAAGTAACTGCGTGTGCAGGAGTGTGACTATGTGTGCAGGAAAGTAACTGTGTGTACAGGAGGGTGACTATGTGTGCAGGAGTGTGACAATGTGTACAGGAGGGTGACTATGTGTACAGGAGTGTGACTTTGTGTGTAGGAGGGTTACTATGTGTGCAGGAGTGTGACAATGTGTACAGGTGTGTGACTATGTGTACAGGAGGGTGACAACGTGCAGCGTGACTTTCTGCGGTTATATACAAAACAAAATGTTGGTTATAAGACAAACAGTCCAATTTAGAAAGTGATAAAATTAAGCATATGTTATATACTGAGTCAAAGAAGAAACTTCACAAAATGTAATTTGAAAAAAAATGAACAATTTTTCTCTGATGATACATCTATGTATCCGACATGTGATCCCTATCTGTCTACTCTAGAAAAACGCTAGCAAAACCCACTCAAACCCATCCATTCGTCGTGCAAATGACGTTAGTGCCAAATCAGGGTTTGCACGTGTAGTCGATCACGTGATCTTCGCATCGAAGTTTTCTTCATATGCACGTGCTTGCATTGGCCTCAAGAACTGAAAAAAACACTTTTAAACCACAGTTCTAACGGTACTTGAAATGCCACGATTGTCAAATGTGCAACGCGAACGTGCCGTTGGCATGTTGCAAGCGGGAAGATCAGTTATTGACGTGGCAAGAGCAATGGGATGCAGCCGTCGAACTGTGTATGACTTGCGAGGTAGTCTACAACAAACTGGCACCACTTCTGATCTCCCAAGGTCGGGCCTGTACAACCCCAATATGTAAAATCAAGACAATATGTAAAAACTAACGCAATATGTAATAGCTTAACGCAAAACGTAAAAACTAACGCAATAGGTAAAAAATTAACGCCAATTGTAAAAAATGTCTTTAACGCAATACGTAAACACCTAACGCAAAATGTTAAACCATTTTTTAACGCAATTTGTAAAAGATTAACGGAATATGTAAAACCAAGCTTTTTTTGTTGTTTTTATGTCTTGGCGACTGAAACTTTTTAGAAACTTCACTTTATTGTCTTTCAAAATAAGATATTGCAATATTTCTGTCAAAATTAACCTCATTTCTAATTTAACTGAAATCTGATCTATATGGTCATTAAACATCAAGGTAAAGCCGATAATTGTATGATATAGAGATACTTTATATCATATTCTATATTCGACAGTATCAAAAGAAATCATTGTATTCTTCATAGATATTTTTTATATCAATGGTCAGATGGCCTTTTGTTATCCCACAACTCGCATTTAGCGTTAAGTTGGGGATTAAAAAATGCCTTCCATCCGTCAGTCTGTCCGTTCAAAGAACTGGTTTGGGCGATATCTCAAGAAGTGGTTAATCAATGTTTAATGATATTTTGCACTGTAACAAAAGTTCCACTTGAAATTCTGCATACATCAGTTTTTTGTATTCTTTTTCTTTTTCTTTTAATTCTTTTTGTTGAGAGACCAGTTTGTTCAGGCTTGTCTTTTTTAGTGGGGAATTAATAGCAAATTATTTTCCTATTTTGGAGACCGCCTCCGTGGTGTAGTGGTTAGAGCGTCTGCCCGGAGAGCGGAAGGTCGCGGGTTCGATCACCGACCGCGTCATACCAAAAGACGTTTAAATATGGTACTTGTTGGTGCCTGCCTGGCGCTCGGCATTAATGGGTACAACAAAGACTGGTCGGCTCGGAGTCAGTATACTGTGTCTGAGTGGGGTATCCATGCTTCACTGCTGCATGGTATCTCAGTGGGCTAGCACTATAAAACAAGCTTAAGTCTGGGCTAGTACAAGCAGCCGCACATACACATACACACGCATGCACGTCGTCATATGAGCGAAATATTCTCAAGCACGACGTTAAACCCAATTTCACCTCACCTCACCTTTTTTGGAATTTATGTATCAGTTATTTTTGCACCACAACTGAAGCGTACGCTTACTAAATTTAGATGTAACGCTCTAACGCTCTAAATTCTGTATGCTACTTCGAACAGAAAATATTGACTTGTTGTTTAAGGTAGCCCTTGTGTTGTACCACATACCTATGTTGAGAGAAAAAATGTAAATTGTGAATGGGTGTTTATGGATTTATTGATGTTCCTATAACTCCCGTATTTACATGTTGCGCATAAATGCCCTGTTATTATTTTACACTTATTATTTTACACAATCGAGTTATACCAGAGACATTTGAGATTGGATCCCGATGTTGATCGCTCAAATTTAATGAAATAAAGTTATTGTATTTGATGCAATTTAAGTAATATGTAATATTGAAGTAAACGGGTAACATGACTTGTTCAATCCATCAAACATGCCAATGCCAAGATCAATGATACCTGAATAGAATAGCAAAATCACATACCACGCCTAAGAAATTATAATCGTAATTCACCATTTAATCACGTAGGTTGCCATTCGCTGTGTATTCTGTGACATTCATGTGATTATTTGACGTAGTACCAAACATTAGTATAAATGGAACCAGTTATTCTATTGCTTACTAAATGGAGAAATCTCTGTGTAATTAACGTCTTCAATATCTGAAAAATTGCTGAAGGGGTGTTTAACAATATTAACCCCCTCATTCACGGGACATATGGTGATCACCTGGTTCTCACAGTTGTATGAGGAATCTCATGACAGAGGTCAGAATCTTTGATGTAAACGGAACAGTGACACAAGTTTACCAAAAGAGATTCTACCCGGAGAGAGTCCAGTTATATATCTTGGCTACTTTCATGAAAATGAAGGGAAACACTACATGACCCTAAATC